GTGCTGGTCGAGGTGCAGCCGCACAGCGTGGAGGCTTTGGTGGTAGCCACCGCCAGCAGCAGCCGCGTTCCCGTGAGACCCCGTCGGCCCAGCAGCTTCGTGAGTGGTACGCTGGGCGTGGGAGGTCTGGGGGTGCTGGTCCCTGCACTTACGTTCTCTACAAACTTGGTGAGTGGAGCTGACCTCCAGGACGCGTGGGTTGACCAGTTCACCCCTGGAGGTCAGCGTGTGACCCAATGCACTTGCTCTCGGACGGGCCGCCACCTGGCCACGTTCACCCGTCGGCCTAGGTCAAGTCTGTACAAACTGACTACTGCGTCTCCTCCTGTCACTGCGTCTGGTCAGGTAGCCGTGTCTAGTCATGTGTTTGCTGCCGCGTCCAGGTCCAGTCCAGCGTCTGCCCCCTGCTCGTGTCGTCCTCTGTCGCAAGAGACTCTCCTTTGGCACCACCACCTTGGTCACCCCTCCCTGCCTCGTCTTCAAGGTATGGCCTCCCGTACCCTTGTCTCGGGTCTCCCCCGGTCCCTCCCTCCCCTTCCTCCGAGGCCTGCCCCTACCTGTGTTCCTTGTGTCGAGGGCCGGCAGCGCGCCGCTCCTCACTCCTCCACGTTCCCTCCGACAGAGGCTCCCCTGCAGACTCTTCACATGGACGTGTGGGGCCTAGCCCGCGTCCGTGGACAGGGTCACGAGCGTTACTTCCTGCTGGTCGTTGACGACTACTCGCGTTACACCATAGTCTTCCCCTTGCGCAGCAAGGGTGACGTTACTGAGGTGTTGATCGACTGGATCCGCGGTGCCCGTCGCTAGCTCAGCGAGAGTTTCGGCTCGGACCTTCCTGTTCTGCGTCTGCACTCGGACAGAGGTGGTGAGTTTTCCTCGGACCTTATGAGAGCCTTCTGTCGTGCGGAGGGCATCCGCCAGACGTTCACGCTTCCGGCCTCCCCACAGCAAAATGGGATTGCTGAGCGCCGCATTGGCATGGTCATGGATGTCGCTCGTACGTCCATGATCCATGCGGCTGCTCCCCATTTTCTGTGGCCGTTCGCGGTTCAGTACGCTGCGCATCAGATCAACCTTCAGCCTCGTGTCTCCTTGCCGGAGACCACACCTACTCTGCGGTGGACGGGGAAGGTTGGCGATGCGTCTGTGTTCCGTGTCTGGGGATCTCGAGCTTTTGTCCGCGATACTTCAGCAGACAAGCTGTCCTCTCGTGCCGTTCCCTGCGTCTTCCTTGGCTTCCCCCCTGACGCACCGGGGTGGCAGTTCTACCACCCCACCTCGCGTCGTGATCTGTCCTCTCAGGTCGTCACGTTTGACGAGTCGGTGTCTTACTACCATCTCTTTCCCTACCGCACTGCCTCTCTCCCCCCCCCACCACTCTTCCTAGCACCAGGTACTCCCCCGGTAGACCCCCTCCCCCCTCAAGGTCCTGCCCCCTCAGGTGTGTCCCAGGTAGACCCTGCCGAGCCGGTCGAGGTAGCTGTCGACTCAGGTACTGCTAGGGGTGCTGAGCCTGCGGGTGCGGGGACTCGGGGTGCGGAGACTGGGGGTGCAAAGCCTGGGGGTGCTGAGCCTGAGCGTGTGGAGCCTGGGGGTGCTGAGTCTGGGGGTGCTGAGTCTGGGCGTGCTGAGCCTAGGGGTGCTGAGCCTGAGCGTGTGGAGCCTGGGGGTACTGCGTCTGGAGGTGCTAAGCCTGCGCGTGCTGAGTCTGGAGGTTCTCTAGGTGTCCCGTCGTGGCGGGAGCCCCTCTCTCCGCAGCAGCTTCGTGAGTGGTACGCTCGGCGCTATCGCGGTGCTGCTGGTGCAGCTGGTGCTGTAGGTGCTGCTGGAGCTGCTGGAGGTGCTGCTGGAGGTGCTGCTGGTGCTGGAGCTGCTGGAGGTACTGCTGGTGCTGGAGCTGCGGGAGCTACTGGAGGTGCTGCTGGTGCTGGAGCTGCTGGAGGTGCTGCTGGTGCAGGAGCTGCTGGAGCTGCTGGAGGTGCTGCTGGAGCTGCTGGAGGTGCTGCTGGTGCTGGAGCTGCTGGAGCTGCTGGTGGTACAGGTGCTGTTGGAGGTCCAGGAGGTGCTCGTACTGGAGGTACTGGAGCTGTTAGGACTGGTGGTGCTGCAGGAGTTGTAGCTGGAGACCCTGCTGTTTCTGGAGGCGCTGCGCGGCCGCGGCCGTACTACGTTCCGCTCCTTCAGCAGGTTCTTGGTCTCCCGCCTTCTCCTGGTCCTCCTCCTTCTTTACTGAGTCCACTGCCTGCCCAGTCCCAGTCGCAGTTACAGCCGGCCTTTCCACTGCCTGGTCCTTCTCCTTACTCTGGACCGACTAGAGGTCTTACGGAGCGTCGTGAGCCTGAGTCGCGTCCTGTGTCGCCTGAGTCTCGCTCTGCGTCGCCTGTCCGTACTGTTCGTGCTGGTCGTCGTGTTTCGCGTCCGCGTCCTCCTCCTGTCCCTGGCACTCACTCTATGACTCTGCGTCCTTCCAATGCTCCACAGCGTGTCCCTCTGCCGTCTCCTCCTGCGTCCTCTCTTCCTGACGGTCTAGACCCTGAGTCTGACTCCCTTCATGCTGCTAGTCCTGCTGTCATGCGCTTTCTAGCCAGTGCTGTCACTGACCCTTTGTTTGAGTCCACTGCTGCGTCTGCTCTTATTGCTGAGCTTGTTGACTTTGCTGAGTCTGCGTCTGCGTCTGTCTGTCCTCCGTCCGTTGGGGGTGAGTGTGCTCTTGGCACGGACGTTCTTGAGGACAGACAGGAGGAGTTTGAGTGCTTTGCCGCTGCTGTACCTCATCTCGTGTCCATGCTGCTTGCCGCTGAGGGAGACCCGGATGCACCAGACATCCCGACCCTGCGCTCTTACGCAGAGGCGATATAGGGTCCCTACTCCTCTCAGTGGCAGGCAGCCATGGACGCCGAGATGGCTTCCTGGAAGTCCACAGGCACCTACATCGACGAGGTTCCCCCGCCTGGGGCGAACATCGTCAGTGGCATGTGGATCTTCAGGGTGAAGCGGCCGCCGGGTTCTCCGCCTGTCTTCAAGGCGTGTTACGTTGCACGTGGCTTCAGTCAGCGACAGGGAGTTGACTTCTTTCAGACCTTCTCCCCTACCCCGAAGATGACTACTCTTCGGGTGCTACTGCACGTCGCAGCTCAGCGTGACTACGAGCTACACTCGCTTGACTTTAGCACAGCCTTCCTACAGGGCAGCCTGCATGAGGAGATCTGGCTGCGCCGCCCACCTGGCTTCACTGGGTCGTTTCCTGCTGGTACCCAGTGGAGCCTCCGGCGGCCAGTCTACGGTCTCTGCCAGGCACCCCGTGAGTGGCACGACACACTGAGGACGACTCTTGCTACTCTTGGTTTTGCTCCTTCCACTGCTGACCCGTCGCTGTTTTTACACACTGACACCACTCTGCCGCCGTTCTACGTTCTCGTGTATGTAGACGACCTCGTCTTTGCTACTGCTGACACTAAGGCACTTGCCCACGTGAAGTCCGAGCTGCAGAAGAGACACACGTGCACAGACCTGGGTGAGCTGACAAGCTATCTTGGCTTGCGGATCACCCGGGATAGAGCACAGCGCACCATTACCTTGACTCAGTCACACATGGTGCAGCAGGTCCTTCAGCGCTTCGGCTTCACGTACTCCTCGCCACAGTCCACTCCTCTGCCTACCGGTCACTCGCTCTCAGCTCCACCTTCGGACGAGTCCGTAGAGGCGAGTGGCCCGCATCCAGAGCTTGTGGGCTGCCTCATGTACCTGATGACTTGCACACGACCTGACCTCGCATACCCTCTCAGCCTTCTGGCTCGCTACGTGGCTCCCGGTAGGCACCGAAAGGTGCACTGGGATGCTGCAAAGAGGGTGTTGCGCTACTTGTGCAGTACGTCGGGCATGGGGCTCGTGCTTGGAGGACGGGCTCGAGTTGTCCTCACTGGTCACGCAGACGCTTCCTGGGTTGACGACTTGGCTACGCAGCGGTCGTCACAGGGTTACACCTTCAGTCTTGGCTCCGGTTCTGTCTCTTGGCGGTCTACCCGCTCTTCTTCTGTTCTCAGCTCCAGTTGTGAGGCTGAGATCTACGCTGGGGCCATGGCTGCACAGGAGCTACGCTGGCTCACTTACCTGCTGACCGACTTGGGAGAGGCTCCTCGTTCTCCTCCAGTTCTGTACGTCGACGTCAAGGCCATGCTTGCCTCTTGTCAGGAGCACAGACTGGAGCACAGAACGAAGCACATTGCTCTGCGCTACTTCCTTGCTCGAGAGTTGCAGCAGCGTGGCCAGCTTCGTCTTGCTTACGTGGCCTCACAGGCCAACACTGCTGATGTTTTCACCAAGGCACTTCAGCCTTGTGATCATCAACGTTTCTGTATTGTCCTTGGCCTTGTACCTACTGTGCCTCACTTGCTTACTTCCTGACTCTGCTTGTACTGTACTCTATATAGATATACATGCATGCTTATACTTGTTAGGTTGTGTTCACTGTATTGTTTGTTCTCCTTTATAAAACTGTGCATGTGAACTGGCCTTGTGGCCATTTGCTTGTGCTCAGACTGCGTGGTGACTTTGTGATCCACCCTGAGCTTGCTTTGCCTTTCTTGACTGGTCTTGTGACCTCTTGTTCTCCCCCATTTTGCCTATGGGGGTGTGTCAAACTTATATGCTATAGTCTGTTTAGGCTGTAGTGGGGTAGTTCTTATAGGGTACAACACTTTTAGGTTTCCTAGTTGTACCCACCTGCTTGCTAACTCAGTCATTCATTCGTTCACTATTCTAAGAGCAAGGTGAGTGACTGAAACGAGGGAATATACAACAGTAACTGTCGATATTCCCGCGGCATTTTTTTGGCGCGAAACAGAGTTCAGTTTCTTGATTCTGACTAGAAATGGAGAAGAGCGGGACTGGTAGTGCTATGAAAGGAAAAGTTTCTACATAAGCAACTCGTTAAAAAGTAGACCAGTCAAATAAAAACATGATGAGATGGTAGAACATTTTCAACAAATACGCTTCCATAACTATAAGCTCTTGTCTTTTCCAGCCTTAGCCTTACTCCCCGTGCCCTTTGATTTCTCCGTTTTCTTGTCGGTGCTCCCCTGTGTGGCAGCAGCCACACTAGCCTTTCCTTTGCGGATGTAAGTGTAGTACACTATCTGTGCAAAGATAGTGCCATGTGATAGCACACCCAGAATGCTCCCAATGGCCACTGCAAATCACAACAGGGAACACAGCATCGGGAAAGGAAACACGAATACAATTGAGAATACACAGAGGCCAGACATAAGCAAGTTTGGGTTGGAGTGGTGGGAACCAGGGAGAGGGGGAGGGAATGGGAGAAGGGGGAGCGGAGGGGGGAGACCAATGCAAAAGACCGTGACTAGCAAATAAACAGGAGGAGATAAGATGGGCATAGGAGTGAGGATGAGCAGCTAAGAAGCGAGGGCATGGGAGGGGAATGGGAGGGGTTTCTTACTGCTAAGAGGGGCCTTTTCTTGGATAGACGTGAACAGACGGGCTGGGACATGGGGAGGACACAGGAACACCAGGTGGGAGGCAAAAAACCAGGAAAGAAAAGAATCTTGAAGCACAGAGCAGGAGAACCTTTCGATGCAAAGAGCACAATATCAACACTTGAGGCTGGTCGGTAAGTGCGGATGTCTTAGGATTCTTGCATGTTCTACAGAATCTTGGCAGTGAGTTGGATTACCGGAGATAAGGTTTTACCTTGCAAGGAGGGTTGGGAGCACCGGCATCGCTGTAGTAATCGGTTATAGGATGAGAAAACGAGGTGTCTACTGAGTGGACGACCTTTTGAGGTACGTCAAGAGTCAGTAATCGGAAAAGGAAGTGCGGTAGTTTATACTGAATGGAGGGTGAGTGCTGCTTACCGATGCAGCCAGCAAAGGTGAGGAATGTGGTGAACACGCTCAGCTGCCCTGTGCTCTTGCTCTGCTCATGAGAGATGGTGGAACAGGGCACATCACAGCGCATGCTGTGAGATGAACACGACAAGAAATGGCGTGGGATGACTTGACTTGACACAACATGACGGATGGCATGAGGAGACAACATGAAGTGTCATGATGGTGTGACATAACACGGCGGGCGGAGTATGTGCTGCAATGGAACGAAGCAGTCAGGTGAAGACGCTGACATGGCATGCAAGCACAGTTGGACGACAAGGCAATGAAATGACAAGTTGGCATGACACACCAGGACACAGCATGAGATGGAACAAGCACGCAAGAGTTGATGCCCGCATGTGGCACATGGGGCAATAAGCAGTCAAGAGAACAGCGCATGGCATGTGCATAGCTTTTGTGGCTAGTGTGGCGCGTACTCGACATGCTGGGTGCTCAGTGCTCACCACGTAGTTACTCCACATCTGAGGGATGCGTCCAATGGTGAACAGTGCCGTTTGGGCGTTCTGCATGCGATCAAGGGGTTGAATTGGATGGGATGAGATGGGACCATGGAACCCGGGCTAAGGTTGCATGCACTAAAGGGGTTGAGTCTAATTGATTGCGATTGCGACCATAGAGCTCAGTTCGTGGCTGGTGGATGAACAACTGCATGATAGTGGAGGAATGCGGTTGGCATGAGGGGGCAGGGTACAGTACATGATGGAGGGGAGAGACGTGGAGGAGAGTGGAGTGAAGGAGGGTGGAGGGGAGTGGAGTGGAGGGGGATGGTCGCGCTCCTCGTTCCTGTAAACAGTTCTTCAGTTGACCAACTCAAAGAGAAAAATACAGACTCACTCGCATAGATGGTCTCGTGTACGTGTATTTGTGGATTCATCATATAATTCCCGCACACAGCTCCTAAGTTGGCCAAAATTTAGAGAAAAAAACAGGCTCGATAATAAAAATGGTCTCGTTACCTCGTATAGGTACCTCTTTCTGCAAACAGGTCTAAACACTCGACCAAATCAAAGGGAAAATAAAAGGCTCACTCACATAGATGGTCTCGTATAGGTTGGCGCTCATTGCCCCTGAGAACAGCATTGGTACCAGGGCGGAATAGCTGGTGGGGAAAAGAGGGTGCAATGAGAAGGATTGAAGGGGGAAGAGACGGGGGGAGAAGAGGGTGTAGGGAGTGTTGTGAGAACAGCACTGGTACCAGGGCGGAATAGCTGGTGGGGAGAAGTAGATGCAAGCAAATGTGTTTAGTCAATGGGTGGGCAAGGAATAAGGGAAAGGCGGGTGGCTGGGGGATTAGAGAAATGCAGGGCACATAGCAGGCTTATTTGAACACACAGGCTCACATGTACAACCTCATAGCCATGCACTGCACAGCATAGCCAGTTGCATATTAGGAAGAAGCTCTGGCAGCATGGCGGAGTAGTTGTGGGGGGTAAGAGGTCGGTGGGTGGGTGGATGGGAGGGAGGGAGAGGAGGGTGGGTAGGGGGTTAAAGAGTTCGGGTGCGAATGGGCGAAGGGGGGAGGAAGTGGGAGAGAAGGAGAAAGGAAGGGGGAGAGATGGGGAAAGGAAGGGGGAGAGAAGGGGAAAGGAAGGGGGAGAGAAGGGGAAAGGAAGGGGGAGAGGAAGGGGAAGGAAGAAGTGGGAGAGAAGGGGGAGAGAAGCGTAAAAAGGTATTTATATGATCATATGATTTGCCCTCGCCTTCCTTGGTAGAGCACGGACTGCATAGAAGATTCGCGAAAATGGAAGGATGTGCGCACATCATTAAGAAAGGAAGCAGGGCCTTTTTACATACATACCTACTTTGATCCATGGCATGGGCATGGCCAGGCCAGCGGTTCTAACCCTCTCTCCCACGCACATGTCAATGCTCGTCCATGCAATTGGCATCAGCATGGTCAGGTCAAATGCGAGTGGGGGTAGTTGGGAGAGGGACTCACATTTCCACTTCTATCTTGACTGGGACCTAATATGCTAACATATGCCATTCCCGTTCCCAGTTTGATCCAGGTGGTGGGCATGGTCGGGCCAAACGTGAATGGGAAGGAGGGGAGAGGGAGAGAGACTCACATGCCCACTTTGATCCATGTGGTCGACGCCTGGTTGGGCAGATGCGAGTATATCAGGAACATGAGGATGAGCGCTGCACGGGCGGGGGGGGGGGGGGGGGGGGGGGGGGGGGGGGGGTGAGGGGGAGAGAGGGGGGGGAGGGGAGGGGAAGGACAGCAAGGGGATCCAGAGGTAGTGTATGAGAAAAATGAGGATGAGGGCAGCACAGGGTATAGAAAAGGAGGGGGTTGGAGGAGGCTAGGTTGAGTGGAGGGAGGGGGTGTGGCGGGAAAGAGAGGGACAGGGATGGGAACCAGATATAACGTTACTGCCTCGCAGATGCACAGGCAGCAAAACCGGTAATTTCTAACAGTAAATGAGAGCAGAAAGTTCTTCGTTGTGACGAACCACAGAGTGAACAGGCCCCGTGCGCTGTGAAGAAACGAAAGCCCACGCTTGTTACAATGCATAAATGCTTACACTGCAGGAGGAGGAAGAACAGCTCGCCATATGCAGTAAAGGGGACCTTCTTAAAGAGGCAGTACCCCACGGAAATAGTGTAGCCAATACACTCAATCTCAAACGACGGTACACTCAGACCCTCTATGCTGTTGCTGCGGATGATCACGAGAATCTGCAAAAAAGGTAGAGAAAAAAAAAAACAGAAGAAAATAAGAAGCGGTACACTATCCACTTAGGCCCTCAATGCTTTACTGCAGATGATCACGAATATCTGCAAAAAGGTGCAAAGAAAGCAAAAGACAAAGGGGGAGAGAAAAGGGGGGAAGGGGAGTGGAGGAGAGTGGAAGAGGAGGGGGTAGCAGATCAGAGGAATATATAAGCACGTATACATACGATCTCAAAGAACCGTTCAGTATCTACACTGACCCCCGATGCCGCGGCTGCGGGTAATCACGATCATTTGAGCAAAGGAGGAGGAGGGAGAAGCTTGAAGGAAAATAGACATTCATACACGCTATCTTGAAGGGCAGATCACTCATTTCCTCGATGATGCTGCTGCTGCGAATTATATCACAAGGATCTGAGAGACTGAAGATAGGAAAGGTGGGGCAAGTCCCAACGGAAACAGCGTTGCCCTACGGAACCTCTCGACTTGGTGTTCCGAGATTGTGGTGCACTCATAACTTTGGTGATGTTGCTGCTAGTGCTGTCCCTAACGCCGTAAGCAACGAATTGCCACACCTTAGCACCTTCGCGACGGCTCAATTTCCTTCAATGGATTCGTTGTACGATCTCCGCAAACGAGAGCTCTCAACGAAGACGACGCCGGACCTCAGCACCTGTGGGGGCTCTTAGATACCACTTTTGAGTCAACTCATGAACCAATCTCGGGGTTTCGCCGCTGGGAACTCTAGTACCGTGAATAGCATTTCGGAATAAACTCACTAACCAACTCTGGGATCTTATCTCACTGCTAGGAGCTCTAAGTACCATATTACATTCAAACAATTGACCTATTTCAAGCTCGTATTTCACCTGTGGGAGCTTCAATATCGTAGATCCCAGAATAATGCCGTAGCCTAGCGCCTTGGCGAGTAAATTGAGGAGGCACTCCTTCTCGGGCATCTGATACTCCGCCACGGCCACCAGCACGCACGTTAAATTCATCCCTGCTATCACCAGCTCGTTCATTTTCGCCATGATCAGAACAGTGAACAAGCAGAGAGGCCTGGAGTATGTCTACTGCCGCTCGTGAAAAACAGATGGAATTATACGCGAGCCACGGAAACGATGAAGGGAACAGATGGGATTGTCCCTTGCTGCAATCGGCCTGTCCATTCCAAATCGAATTAGTGGTGACAGATGTCGGGTCTGCTCGAAATTGCCATTTCCGACTTTTGAAGGGGTTGAATACGTTTCTGTGTGTTTCAGATCGTTCAAGTGCGACGCCAACGGCGAACACAATGTTGTCAGCAGGTTGGGAAGATATCAGGGAGATCCCTCCGGGAACCCGCTTTTGCCCCTGCGGGTTTTCCCCGGAGGGATTTCGGTTTTCCCGCAGTCTCCTAGCGAAACACGCGAGGGGCGGGAGCCGACCCCCCCGCCCGCCCGAAAACGGGCACCCCCAGCTGGCGCCAGCTGCCAGCGGTCCCCCCCCCAACCGAACCGAACCCCACCCTCGGTTCGTAGACGGGTTCCGTCCGGTAACCCAAGGGAACCCTCGCCGGGCGTCGCCTCGCCGACGGAACCCGTCCGCGAATTCTCGCGAGCGGACGGAAGCGACGCCAATCTGCGCCGCGCTCCACCGCTCTCGCCCTCGACGGGGCCCGTTTCGGTTGGCGCTCGACCGTGGTGATGTGTCGAACGCCCCCTCCCGCTCCTTAAGAGGGGCCTTTCAGCTGCATGCAGGGCGCCCCACCTCATGCAAGCAACCCTCATGCAAGCAACCAGTAATACAGGGCCCCGCCGCCCTCTGCCATAAGCTCCTCCTACCGCCGTCGCGGAACGCGCCCTGCCTCGTCGCCCTTGCCCCCACAGTCTGTCTCGGTGGAGGGGATGGCAAACAACAAATACCCTGAGTGCGTTCTCATTTCGTTGCAGTCTCCGAGTTTTTCTTCCCCACTCCCTAGTTCCCAACTTCCCTGCGCTCCCGCCCTCCCTACTGCTAGGCCTGTCATGGCTACGGGCCCCGCCTCCCTACCCGTCGTGAACGAGCCGACGGTTCGACGCGGCCTCATCCTAACCGCAGGCGGGATCGATGTGGAGGAGTTCGAAGACCAGTTGAATGCGCTTAGCGAGGCGCCGAAGGCGGAGCTCGATGAGACGATGATGAACGCGGGCATTGTGTACGTTTCCTGTCGAGCACTTTAGGTTTGCCATGTTTACCTGTCGCTGACTGTGCCTTAGCTTTCCGTGCAGCCTGTTTTCGAGGGAGCTGCTGTCCGTCGAGCAGCTCGCCAAGCTGTCGATCGTGACTTCGACGCGTGCGCATGAAGAGATGGCGCGTCCCACACCGGTCGCTTTTGCGAACAACCACCTCGACGGCCTGCTCGGCAAGCAAGTGATTCTCGTTCTGCTGCGGACCACGTGAGTTCGACACTATCCCGTCGCCTTGCGTGCTCCGTGTTTAGTACTAAACCCGTGCTCACGTGCATTCGCTCTGCATGCAGCCTGACTGTGGCGCCGTTCTCCCACTCGAGCCTGTTTGTGGTATCGCGCCCCGGCGATCTGCTGGCTCCGAGGCACCATGGCTGTCGAACTCGAATGATGCACTTCGATTCGAAAGACAGGTTTCCCTTGGTGAACCACCAATCTTCGCTGGCCCATGAAGTTCTCGTGTGAGTGACCGATTTGCCACCCTGCTGTCGACTTGCCGTTCTCGACAATCTCTTACTCTCCTGTCCGTTGCTTTGCAGTTGGATGAAGAAGCAGCTTCGCGCCGAGTACGCGACGACCCAGCGGGTTGTGACCGAGCACGAGCAGGAGGTGCTTAGCCTCATCGACCTGCGTCTAGACATGATCACGAGTTTCGATCATCTGGTAAGCCAACCCTTACCCTTACCCGTGCATGTTTTCGTCGAGCATGTTTGTTCTGTCGCTTACGTGTGTTTTATACCCGTCGCAGACGACGACGGCCCTGACGAGCCCCAGTGAACCCGGCGCGGCAGCTCGTGTCGTGCATGGGGTGCGCCGGATTCTGTCGAACTGGGACAATTTCATATTGCAGCCTCGACAGGGCGACCTAGTGATGCTCGGGAGAACGAGCCCTGGCCTGGGTTTGCTTCCGTCGTTCATGCTCAAACTGTTTTGGAAAATGATGGATGAGGCGGCGGAGGGAGTAGGAGTGGGAGGGGGTGCCGGACATGAGGGAGGAGGCGAGGGGGCGCCACGCGTCGTGGTTGAGTACAGCTACGAGGAGGAGGAGGAGATCGAGGAGGATACATCGAGACAAGCTCAGCACGGGGTGAGCGGCCCGGGCGGCAATGCGGACGAGCAGGAGGGCTCGAGCTCGGAATCGAGCTCCAGCTCGAGCTCGAGTGATGAGTCGATTGAGCACGACGGCGAGGGTTTAGGGTTACATCCAGGTTGGACGGAGCGTACGGAGAAGCGCGGAGTGGCGCTCCGGGAGCGGGTGGACGAGCAGCAGGCGACGGGGGACGATTGGGATGTCGAAGAGCAGGAGGGCGGAGCGGCTGGGCAGGATTTTGGGACGGGAGTGCAGCAGCAGGAGGGCGGGGCGGCTGCGCAGGAGGGTGAGGTCGGAGGGCAGCAGCAGGAGGGCGTGGTGGCTGCGCAGGAGGGTGGAGCGGGAGGGCAGGAGCAGGAGGGCGGGGAGGCTGCGCAGGAGCGACTCGTCGCAGTAAGAAGGAAACACCGCACGGCCAGTGGCAGCGGACAGGCGGGCCCTTCGACGGCAGGCCGTTCGACGTCGGCCATTGCATCCGAGGGCCAGGTCGTCGAGCTACTGCAGAGGGTCGCTGAGGTCGAGGCGTCGCAGAAGAAGCTCGTCGCCGACGTATTTGCGAAGCACAGTGAGCAAGCCGTTGTTTTCAACAAGCTTGCTGGGGATTTTCGGACGGCCTGGAATATGATTTCGGAGTCGTCGAAGAGCACGCTGAAGCAGTGCGGCGATGCCGTAAACGGTGTCACGGAGGAGAGGAAGCTGTTGGAAGGGGCACGCTCGAAGCTCGACGAGATGAGCGGGAAAATCATCGAGGGGGTGGCAGCCGCTATCACAAAAGCGAGCGAGGACGCCGTCGAGAAGCAGCTCAAGCTTGTCGAGGAGCGGCTGGTTGCTTCGGTCGTGAAGGGTATTGAGAAAGTCGTCAAGGAGGACTTGTTCTACTCCACCCTCCCGCCCGAGAGCATGAAGGAGCTGAAGGACGTTGTGAGAGAAAGCTACCAAGAAGCTAAAGCTGGCAGATTGGAAGTCCTCACCGAAGCGATGGCGAGAGGGTTTCGGGGCTCGGCGGGCCCGTCGACGAGGTCGCGTCAGGAGGAGGGGGTGGCTGGTGTTCGCAGCGGGGTTGAGCGTCGAGTTCATGAGCGCTCGGTTCCTCCTTCTTCTTCGGTGGGAGGACATGTCGGCAGCCCGGTAGCATCCCCACCGTCGCGTGCCCGTCAGACCGTCGGCAAGTCCGTCAAGGACAAGGATGTCATCGTACTCGACCGATCGCCCCGTCAGCAGACCTCTGAAGCGGCACCGAAGCCTCCGCCTGATGCTTTTGCTCCGCTCCGGGACATGCTGCAGGGCCTCGGGAAAAAGGGTGGGAAAGGAGTGGTTGCGGGGGAGAAAAGTGGTGCCCCAATCGGCCAGGTCGCCTCAGCCGGGAAAGGAGCCGTGGAAAAGCGAGGTGCCCCTACCCCGTCCGGCGGCGCTGCGGGGAAAGGAGCGGGGGAGAAACGGGGTGCTCCCAGCCAGGTCGCCGTCGCTGCTGGGTTGCTGTCGAAGACAAAGGCCGACTCCGCTGCGCAGCTCGGCATTGCTGGCTGACCTGTCGAGCCTGTGGGAAAGAGGCCGTCGTCCGTTTTAGGCGACGTCTCACTTAGCGAACCGGGTTCCCCTCCTCCTGGTCCGAGGCCAAGGTCCCCTTCTGCGTCGAAGAAAAGGCTGGCTGTGACGAATTCGACGAAGCGGGCTGCAGAGGCAACAGAGAGCAGTGACGTCGAGTTGGCGTCTACCGTCGTTGCTGCTCGACACGAAAAGTCGAAGAAGCCCAAGGTGATCGGCTACGCCCCACCTCCTCCGCCGGACGACCAAGGCAAGACGAGAGGCTGCAAAGCTCCCTTCAAAGGACCGGGCATGATGTCGCGCAAGGGGAAGCCGGTTTCCGAGCAGACCGTAGGCTCGAGGAAGCGGTTCCTGGGCACTTTTGAAACGGAGGCGGACCAGAAGTTTTGTACGGCCATCTGCTGGCGCGTGTACTTCCCCGACATAGACCTCAAGGAGTACGAGGGGTTCACGGCGCAGGATTAGAAGGACTGGAAGGGCTATCTCGATGCAGCGGCGCGTATGCCCACCGGCGTTTGGAGCGTGGCGCAAGAACAAGGGGAATGTCGTTTCGACGAGTGAGTTCTGTCGAACTCCTGTAGTTTGACTGTCGTAGCGGTTTTGTTCTTTCCGTCGAAGAGCTGTCGGATTTCCTGTCGAAGTCGTGCCGTCTGACTAACGCAGTTGTTTCGATTTGCAGTTTTCGGTCGCGGCTGGCGACGACAAATACGGAAGTGAGAGCCGGAACCGACTGGGGAATTGCGCTGTGCGCGACGATTGGGAAGGTTGCGACGCTTGGCCGGAGGTCGCAGCAACTGTGGCAAGCTTGTGGGCGGCCTGCAGAAAGTTGTCGAGGGAAGACATTAAGAAGGATGCCCTAGCTGCCGCAAACGCAGCGCTCTACGCCCCGGAGATGGCGACACGGGCTAGTGCAGCTGCCATGGCTGCGCTGTTGTCCGTACTTTTGCACGTCGGCAAGACGTTCCCGGCCAAGTAGTGGCCCGATCTGCTATATTCGTCGGCTGTCGAAGGCCTCGGCTCGTCTGACGCCACCCTGTTGCAGATGGTGCGCGTGGCAGCACAAGTTTGTACTCAATGGTGCTGGTGTCGATTTGCTGCCCGTTTGCTGGAGGACGCGGGCTATGGGAGCCTGGCTATGCCAGAAGAAAAGAGATTGGCGAAGCTGGGCGACGAGGAGGCAACAGAGGCGGAAACAGGCGGGCAAGGGGAGTAGTATAGGTGGGCGCATTGCGTGGGGGTTTTTGCATCATTCGACATATGTGTTTGTTGTTTCGATCGGTTGATCTACAGATGTTCTTTGACTTTATGTTTTCGAGAATGCTCAATTGGTTCATCTTGTCGAGATGGTGTCACAACATGTATTAGGGAAAGATGCCATGCAAACCCAGAACAACCTACACTAGGGTCCCCCCTCGTCACGGTTGCTCGTCGAACTAGGCCGCGCGCCAGTACTTACCGTGAATTCTTTCCATTTCTCCTTGCCGAACACCTTCTCCGCCCATTCTGCGGTTCGGAGCTCGACGCGAATGAGCTCCAGAGTGATTCTGAGGCGTTGTTTGTCCTTCCGGTTTTCCTCTGCAGACTCGACTTTGCGCTTTTTCGTGAGCTGCCTCCCAGAATCCTCCTTGAGAACGATGCCCTCTAAAAGCATGTTGATCGAGGGGCCCTTCACAATTGAGTCCAGCTTTTCGATGACCGTCGACGTAGCCGCGCTGCTGTCGTCGATCCGGAAATGCTCGACGGCCTTCATGACAGCCTCCATTTTCCGCATTTTCGTCTCGATAGCTTTTGCGGTTGGTGGATTTTCTTTTGGCTGGGCCTCCTTTTCGGGGGTTACGGGGGGTGGAGTCGGTGTGAACTTGCAGAACTTGACGGCGAAGCCCCTCTTGTAAGCCTGTCGAAGACTACGCCCGTTGTTCAGTGGATTTGCCCCGTCCCAGTACGACCACGCCTTCCGCACGGTCTCGCAATTGCACCACGGCCACACCGCCGCGTCGAAGAACGTCTGGTCGAGCTGGCTGCCCACGCTCTGTCGAGAGGGCATTGCTTGTTGGGCTTGCTGTGGATCCGGGATGGCTTCCTCGGTTGCCGTCTGCGGCACGCTCTCGCTCTCCCCCACATTTGCAGCTGCGCTTGTCGCCGCGGTATTCTTCAATGCGTCGAACGCTTTCTGTAGTTGCGCGAACGCCTCTGACTTCGCCTCCAACTCAGCTTTCATCGAGCTTTTCTCTCGCTCCAATGACTCGACCTGCTTCTCGAGGTGGTTGATCTGGATTTCCCTTTTCCCTCCCTCCTCCTTGTGGAGGTTTATCTCGGCCCGAAGTTGCGTGACGAGGTGCTTGGTGTTGAGGTGAGAGGATACGTCCTGCACGCAAGAACACGTGGAGTCAGTGGGCTGATGCAAAGTCGTCGCTTATAGTTTTGGAAGGACCATCTTACCGTCGCTCTCGACATCGTGGGGTTGGTCCGCATCTCGATGCCGTACTTGTCGAGCGTGTACACGTCGAGCGCCCATTTTTGGAAATCTTCGTCCTTGCACAAACCCGACATCTGGACGTAAGGGTGACGCTCGCTGTCACAAACGCTGACCCCGTCGAAGGGGTGGTCCTCACAATGGACGTAGTACATCGCAAGATCCTCTGCGATAGGCATTCGGGCGGCTACCAGGGCCTCCAAGAAAGTTTTCGCTGCGTAGTACATATGTTCCTTGTCCTGCTCGTTGTTCCACTCCTGGGCCTAAACAAAAACGAATGGGGTGACATCGAGAGATGGATGGGCGAGCAAAACTTGCGTTCGACGAAGACGCCAACTGCTCGACAGATACATACCTCGATGAGCCACAGCTCCGCCTTAGGAAAGATGTGCTCCTCGATAGCCTTCAGGACCTTCGGGGGCACTTTAGTCTTCGATCTTCCGATGTAATAGTCGCCCGGTTCCTGCGAGAAACCCGCTTGCATCTGGATGGCCGGGCGCGGGATGCCTGTGACGTATGACCTGCGCATCTCGTTCATGTCCCATTGACCCAGCTGTGCGATGGAATCGAGGTCTAAGTTCTTGTCCGCGAGGATCCGTGCCGCAGACCGTCGAAATATGTGCGTGACTTTCGACAGGATACACACCGCGCTATTCATCGCCCATGTCACCCATTTGTTGTGCGTCGGGTATGGCATCTCTGTCTTCTCTTTGTCGAAGAGGGCGAAGAACAGGTATTTCTTCGACCAGGCCTCCGGGTTTGAAAAATCCAAGGGGGGCACGATATTCTCGTTGTTGTAGTAGAGCGGCACGAGGTCGAAAAGGAGGTGTAGCCAGAGGAAAACTGCTCCAAAGCCGCACTGCTGGAAGTCCATGTGTCGAGTCAGGTACAAGTGGCCGAGCTTGTTGTCTTTGACGGTCTTCGAATTGCGATAGGCGACCACGAGAACGATGATCGACGATTCCCCCGGGCTGTTCGTGATGGGCAGAAGGACGTGAGTGAACATGTTGCAGTAGCGGATCGTACGGATGCTGATCCCCCTGCCCAGCATGTGATGCGCCATCAGAATCATCACCCTCACAGCCAAGGCCTTCCACAGCGACAGACTGGGGTACGCCATCGACGACCCGAAGTACACCTTGGCCCAGTGCGGCAGGATGTCTGAAACAAGAATGCGGAACTGCTCCTCCGTGTAGACATCGTCGAGCGAGCCACGGTGTGGGTTGACGCAGCTCCTGCATAGAGTGGGCAGATACCGTTTCTAATAAGTTAGAAAGTGAGTGAGAAGTTCTCGACCGACGGGGTAGGGAAGCGAACTTACTCGAACTGATAGTCGTGCAGCTGTCGCAGCTTGACCGCTAATAGCTGCCTAGCCTCGGTGATGTCGTCCATGGGTTTTGTGAGTGGTTCGCCGAAGAGTATGGCCTCTACTTTGCACAAGCACCCTAGCGCAGTTAGGCGCGCCAGCATCATCGGTGGGGTGCATTTCTTCGGCTTCCATCCCGCTACTCTGGTCCGCCCGGTATCCAAGGAAGCCGCCTGTTTGTCGGTTTCCGTCGACATGTACTCGACGTAAGCCCGCAACCGCCATTTCGACGTCCAAGGCCCATGCAGGTGCTCCTCGTTAAGGAGCGCCGCCCTCCACCCCTTCCCTAAATCCTTGCCGATCTCTCTCCCGACCTCGTCCTCGTTGATCACCTGCTCCTCGACCGGCACTCCGCTGTTTTTTCCGGGCGCCAGGGTTGCACAAGCCCAAGCCTTGAAATCCGAGACGTAGTTTGGCCGAGTGGAATCCTGGTCGATTGCCAGCAGCGGAAGCTGACAACGGTGAATCGCACTTTTGAGTGTTCCCGTCGCCAGGTACGGATTTTCTTCGCCCTGTTCGTCACCGAGAATGTGGGCTGCCTCCTCTTCTGATATATTTGCCGCGGCAGGGCGCAAAGGGTCCATCTCTTCGACATCGTCCGCCTCGGACTGTTCTCCCTGTTCATCGTCGTCATCATTCGTCTCTGCAGGGACGTGGCTGGCTAAGTCCGCTTTGCTGGGTCTTTTCGATGAGCGCATAGGCGCGGCGGGAGTGGCTCGCGAAGCGGATGTACCGACTGGGGGTGGTGGCAAAACCTCAGCCGGAACACCCGTACCCCTTCTCCTACGTCGCCCACCAGTCGAGCTCGGGACAGCGGCTACTGGTTCCGTTGGTGTTGCCGAACGTTGTGGTGCCGAAGATGATGACGGCTGGTTAGTCGCTTCCGGTGTCGAGGGAGGGGATGTTGTCGAAATCGGTTCTACCACTACAGGTATGGATTGTGCCGTCGAAGGGACTTCGGTCGGTGGCCCCCCCACTTCGACATTAACGGCACGCTCCGTCGAACGTTGATCCGACGCAACCGCCTGACCCACTACCGGTATGGCTCGTGACGTCGATTGTGGAGCTGTCGAGCCCGGTATGGCTCGTGACATCGAGGGTGGTGGTGTCGAGCACGGTATAGCTTGTGTCGTCCTAGGGGGTTGCGTCGAGATGGTTTCAACGTCGACAGGGCACGGTATGGCTTGTGACGTCCTAGCTGATTGCGTCGAGATGGTTTCAACGTCGACGGGTAGCGGTCCTACCGCTGCCTGTCGGAAAGGCGTTGTCCTCGACGGATCGTTCTCCATCAGTGCCTACCCGAAAGCTCTCGTTGCCGTAGCGCTGGCCTTACTCATAAAAACGATGTTACTGTTGCTCCCAGTTCAGGATTTCATTGAAACCGTTGTTGGGCTGATAACCCTTCCCTTACAGGTGTCCTCAAAGCGCCTTGGCCTTTTGACGTGGCCGTCATCTGTTGACATGACCCCTTTGATGGCGACTTACGTAACCCGTCGCCCTTCCGACAGCGACGTCTCGGTCGACCGTCGAAGCGATCCGTCGACCGCAGTTGAAGGCGACGTCGATTGTGACCGTCGGCCGGTTGCGAAACCCGTTACCACTCACGTCGACCGACAGCGCGGCCTGTCAGGCGACGTCAGGGGCTGTCACCCGTCTTGTCGGGGGTGCACGACGCTCGACGGCGAGTGGCCAATGCCCGTCGAGCAGTGCTCGATCAATGTCCCCGAAATTGCAACAGTACGGCTGACATATATATGCGCATAAGAATACGACATTGAGACGGAGGGATTCGGAGGGTTTTTCGGAGGGGTTTTTTGCCTGTTTCGGGGTGACCGGAGGGATTCGGAGGGTTTTCGGATTTGCCCCGAAATCTCTTTTTGCCAGGACCCGTGGGGCGGCATGTGATGACGTCAGCCGTCCCTATATTACTGGGTTGAAACCAGCCCCCCAGAAGTCAGAGAAATTTCTCTGATTTGGGTAAAAAACTCAGATATTTCAGCCTTTTTTCTAAGTGAACTCTGAAAGTTCAGATTTTTTTTTTTTTGCCCCAACTCTGAAGTTTCAGCTTTTTTCCTAGGGCTTACTCTGAAAAAACATATTTTTTTCTGAAGTGTACTCTGATCCTTCAGCGTACAAACGCGTACCGACTCTGATTCAATGTATCTGCGTTGGGACAACAGTCAATATTTTTAGAGCGACGCCGCCTTGCGGCGCGGTATTCGCCTTGTACGCACCAGCTTGCGTGGTGATTGGTCGTTTTGGCATCTTTTGCCAACCCATCAAGGTGTCCACCAGTACCCACATTGCTGCATTTGGCAGCCACGAAACACTACACACAGCAGTGCACGGCAGCAGCGCCTCGTCGTTGCCGTGCATGCTAGGCAACCGCCCACCCGCCAGGAGTAGGTGAGCGTCAAAGATACATCGTCTTTGAGGCTTTCTTTTACCCCTCGGGCCCCGTGCTTCGCCTCATTGTCTTCAGTGCTTGTTTGAGCGCTTGCTGTCAGAAGAATGAACGAGAATGAATGAACTAGCAAAGAGTTGGGTACAAGTACTAACCCTAATTGGGTTGTACCCCTTATAAGCTACCCCACTACAGCCTACACAATGTAAGCTATATATAAGTTTGACACTTGCTACCACACCCGTGCTTGTTCGGCACTACCGTATCCTGACCCCGCCATGGCTGTTCGGGAAGATGCCCCCGTTGCCGATGAAACGCCCCGTTCCACGCTTATTAATAACTCGGCGCCGGAGAAGCCTGCGCCCTTAGTCTCGGATGCCACTAATGCTATCGAAGAGACAGTCGACGCCCGACTCAAGCAGACGTCGTTAAACTTGGCACAGCACATCGAAGATATCTACGAGGATGTTGTTGTGAAGTGCAAGTCACTGTTGTTCGCTCGTTTTCCTTGGCTTCTACTAACAAAAACCACCACTGGGTTGCCTGTGTTTCAGTGCAAGGTTTGTTCAGTCCATGTTGGCGACAAAGGCAAATGCGGGAGGCGCGGGAAAAGTGCCATTCACGTGCAGATCCAGTCCTTCCGTAAGCACGCCAGCAACCAGAAGCACCAACTGGCGATGGCGAAGTTAACCTCCTTGTCGAATGCGGGACGTGGCAGCCTCTGACCGACCAGCACCAAGCTAACGTACTACCTACATAGAAGATCATGCATCTGATAACGATAATGATGCATTTGTCTGAGTAGAGTATGTCAAACTTATATGCTATAGCCTATCTAGGCTCTAGTGGGGTAGTTCATATAGGGTACAACACTTTTAGGTTTCCCACTTGTACCCACCTGCTTGCTAGTTTAGTCATTCATCCGTTCCAGATTCTAACATGGTATTATGAGCAGGTTCCCTCGTGGGAACGTTTTTTTAGGGCCCACCACGAACATTTTTTTTTCCTGCCCTGCCCGAAGCGCGCCTCGCGCCTGCCTTACCTGCGCTGTCGCGCGCCCTTCCCTAGCTGGCCCGTCGCGGCCCTGCCTCAGCCGGCCCGTCCCGGCCCGTAGCTGCCCGTCGCTGGCCCGTCGCCACGTGTCGCGGCCCTGCCTTAGCCGCCCACTACGGCCCCGCGCTCGCCCGTGGCTGGCCCGTCCCGGCCTGTCTCGGCCCGACCCGGCCCGTCCCAACCCGTCTTGGCCTGTCCTGGCCTGTCGCCGGCCCGTCCCGGCCCCTTTGCCGCCCGTCGTCGGCCTGTCCCCGCCCGTCGTCGGCCCCCGTTACCGCCCGTCGCGGCCCGTTTGCCGCCCGTCATCGGCCCGTTCGCCGCCCGACGCGGCCTCTGCCCTGCAGCCGCCCATCGTCGGCCCGTTCGCCGCCTGTCGCGGCCCTGCCCTGCAGCCGCCCCCTATCGCGGCCCTGCCCTGCTGCCGCCCCAGTCGCGGCTCTGCCTTCGCCGCCCGTTGCGGCCTCTGCCCTGCAACCGCCTTGTCGCGGCCCTGACCTACTGCCGCCCCTGTCGCGGCCCTGCCCTGCAGCTGCCCCGGTCGCTGCCGTGCCGCGCCGCCAGGCACCGCGCCGCGCCGCCAGGCACCGAGCCGCGCCGCCCTGCCGAGCCGCGCCGCCCCACCGAGCCGCGCCACCCAGCCGAGCCGCGCCGCACTGCCGAGCCGTGCTGCCCTACTGCTTGCACTGCTTCTGCTGCCACTGCTGCTACTGCTACTACTGCTGCTATGGCTAGCCCTACTGTTCTCACCTTTGATGCTGAGGGGCGCGCAGTTGACTTTGACGTGTGGGTTGACAACCTGCAGCTTCTTCTTCAGTGTGACTCTAGGGATGGGGTATCCCTGTTCGATCACACGTCCGGTGTCTCTACTGCACCTGCTGCCACTGCTGATAGTACGGTTCGCTCGCAGTGGACCACTCGTGACGCTGTTGCTCGCCTTGCTTTTCGTAGTCACCTGCAGTCTGCTGAGCGCGCGCATTTTGGCCAGTACAAGACTGCTAAGTCTTTGTACGACGCTGTCGTAGCGCGCTACTCCTCCCCTGCCACTGCTGCCCTCAGCCGCCTCATGCTCCCGTACCTTTTCCCTGACCTTGCCGCCACTGCCACGGTCGCTGACCTCATTACCCACCTCCGCACTAGTGACACCCGCTACCGCGCTGCGCTTCCCACTTAGTTCTGTGCCAAGAACCCCCCCCGCCATGTACATCACTCTTTACTACCTAGTCACTCGCCTCCCTGACTCCCTTGCGTCAGTCAGGGACCACTTTCTCTCCCTTTGCCCCACCGAGCTCACTGTTGACCTGCTAGAGGAGCGCCTCACTGCGGCTGAGAAGAGTATCTTAGCTGTAGGTGCTTCTTGCGGCGACCGTCGCACCCCTTTCTTTGAGGGGTTTTCCCCTGTCCCCCTTCTCCCCTCTGTTGCTTCTGCTGCTGTTGTCGACCTCGTTCGCACTGCGGAGGTCGGGGCTGCGTCTGCTCCTAGTGGGAGGCGCCGAAACAGCAAGGGCAAGGGGGGCAAGGTTGGTGGAGGGGACGGTGGGGGCGGCGGTGGAGGCGGTGGAGGAGGCGGAGGGGGTGGGGGTGGTGGCGGGAGTGGGGGCTTCGGTGGCGGCAGTGGGGGTGGTGGAGGCAGCGGCAGCGGTGGTGGAGGCAGTGGCAGTGGTGGTGGAGGTGGCAGCGGCGGTGGTGCCGGTCGAGGTGCAGCCGCGCAGCGTGGAGGCTTTGGTGGTAGCCAGCGCCAGCAGCAGCCGCGTTCACGCGAGACCCCGTCGGCCCAGCAGCTTCGTGAGTGGTACGCTGGGCGTGGGAGGTCTGGGGGTGCTGGTCCCTGCACTTACGTTCTTCGCACCGGCGGGCGTCGTGGGGAGACGTGCGGGCTACCACACACTGCGCAGCGCTGCTTCGGTTGTCTGACTGACGCCTGGCGCGCCCAGTTTCCTGACGCTGTTGAGCTCCCTCGCTGGGGTGATCTGCTTAAGCAGAATGTTGCTATCTTTGATCTTGATTTTGATGCTATCCTTGCTGCCATGTATGCTGTGACTGATAGTGCTGAGGGTGAATGTTACCTGAGTGTTCAGCCTGACCAGGGCATTGAGGCTGCTGCTCTAGGTGCTGGTGAGTCTGCTGCTCCAGGTGCTGGTGAGTCTGCTGCTCCAGGTGCTGGTGCAGACTCTTCACATGGACATGTGGGGCCCAGCCCGCGTCCGTGGACAGGGTCACGAGCGTTACTTCCTGCTGATCGTT